GTGTGTGTGTGTGTGTGTGTGTGTGTTCACCAGCAGCTGTCAGGTGCGCCTCCACTCATGGCACAGTGTGTGTGTGTGTGTGTGTGTGTGTGTGTTCACCAGCAGCTGTCAGGTGCGCTTCCACTTGTGGCACGGTGTGTGTGTGTGTGTGTGTGTGTGTGTGTGTGTGTTTACCAGCAGCTGTCAGGTGTACCTCCACTCAGCAGGGGTGTGCGTGTGTATGTGTGAGAGAGATAGAGAGAGCGCGCGAGCAGGCGAGAGCACGCCAGCAGAGTTTCCCATGGTCGTGTGCCCCACGGGGCTTCCAATGGCTGATTCTCAGTGATTGCCAGGCCTTTCTCTTGCCGTGCCTTTGGGGGAAACTCAAACTTTCAAGCTTGGGGGTAGCAGATGAGTGGTGTGTTGAGTGTTTACTCCACCGTAACTGTGAGTCTCTTTCCTCCCGGGCCCCACCTCCTCCAGGGTCCCATCACACCCAGGGAGACACACTCAGTCCCACACCTCTGCACTGCTGGTCACAGGGCTGGAATGTCCCCCTGCCTCTCCCTCAGCCTTTCCTGGAACGCTGCCCAGCAGACCCCACCTTCACTGGAGCCCTTGCTGAGTTAACGGCCTCCCTCTGTGTTCTGGACACAGAACATCACAGAACCTGCGTCCACACAGTACAGGCTCCTAGCCAGCCTGGAATCAGGCGCCCCCTGAGGCCAGGCTGCCGATGGAAATGTGTCCCCCAGGTTCTCTTCTGCAGACTCTATCAATGCTCCTGCATTGCAGTGAAGGCCAGGCCCTCCAGTAGCCAGGGGAGTGTCACTGAGTGCGTCAGGGTCCCAGAGGAGGGAGGGTTTCCTTAACAAGCCTCAGGGAAGCAGCAATCAATAAACAAAAGGATGTGGCATATTGGACAAATCTTCTGCAGAAGACCTCTTGAGTGTTATAGAGCAAAGATGTCACTGTGAGGACTAAGGTGTGCCTGACCCAAGCCATCATAATTTTAATTGCACATAATGTTTTGGGCTGCTATGCAAAGGCGGCTAAAAGTTGGGATCTTGACAAGGGTTGGACAATAAATAAGGTAGGCTGAAGAAGAATTTATGCCTTTAAATGATGGTGTTGGCAGAGTATTGACTCCATAATGAACTGCCAAGAAGCTCCAGCAAATCCGCCTTGGAAGAGGTGCACCCAGAGCACTCCTTAGAGGCAGGGGCGGTGAGACTGTCGCGCATACTTGGGGCATGCGTCAGCGGAGGGCAGTTCCGGGAAAGATACACGAAGCTTGGGAAAACAGAAGGTCAGCGAAAAAGATGCAGGTCATTACTAAGATGGATTCACAGAGTGGCCGCTGTAATGGGCCCAAGCCCAGCAATTGTGAGGATGGTGACCACACGGGCAGGGCTCTGCTCTGTTCACACGGGTCACTAGGAGTCAGAACTGGCTCGGTGACAGCTATCAATAACAACAGGGGCCTTGAAGGGGTCCCTGGCTCATGAGAGACAGAAGGCTGGCTGTTCAAGCCCGTCTAGTAGCACGTTGGAAGAAAGGCCCGGTGCCTTCATTTCACCCACTGCTGGGGCAGAATCCTGCTCTGACCCCGTGCGGGGCCACCATCCGCTGGAGGAAACCAGAAGACACTGGTTTTACCCAGCCTAGAAATTCTGCAGCTACAATCATCGTCAATCTTGCCGGCACTCA